GGGTGGCACAACACACAGGAGACAAGGCAGCAACACCAGCATGTGCTGTCTGCCCTGGGGGAACTGGTAACCAGCAGCCTAGGGGCACAGCACCACCGTGACCTCCATCCAGACAGGACCACCCACCTCTAGCCACCACATGCACACAAAGACACACATTTCACGAGCCCCCTGCCAGAAAGTGTCTGAAGCCCCAAGCAGGAGGACGATTTTTCACTGCACAGTACTGTGGCAGCCCTTTGGAAGACCAGCATTACCAAACTAAGCACATACTGGGAGCCAGCCAGTGACTCCATGGTGCAGACACAGCCATGCACACGGCAGCCCATGGGATTCCCTGTGGGGAAGCAGGAGAGGAGAGGCAACATGCAACTTGCACAACATCCTGCCCAAACCCTGAAGGGAAGGAACAGTATCTCACTGCCTATCAAGGCAGGCTAAATATGTTTGTCTCCAGCAGTCTCTGCATAGAAGGAGTAGACAGTCCTTCAGATATTAAGTGCTCTGCCTAACACACACATGGATAAGGGACTTTAGGTTTCCATGTGTTACCAAAGTTTAGCCACGCTGACTTTGCAAAGAGGCTTTGCAGCCCACTGAACACCAGTTCAACACCACAGCATCTCTCGACAGCCAGCCCCTTCCTGAGCCACAGGCAACATTCTGAAGGCTCAGGGTAAATGGGTGTAATTCCAGTAGTCTGCAGGTCCTGCAAGTAACATAGCAAGCAACAAAGGCACCTACCAAAGTGCATCTCTCAGCCTAAGCCTTAACTCAGTACAGCTGCTGCAAGAAACAGGGCCACAGCAGAAATTCATTGTCTAGCTGGCATATCAACTAGCTATTGGTGATTTGTGTATCTTTCCAAACGTTCTAAAACAAGACAGAGACAAATTTCCATATGAATTTGAACAGTTTTAAACAGATGAAACAATTTAAATAGAGAAAATTTAAATTAAATTGAATGACTTGATAGGACTTTTCTTTCTAATGTAAAAAGAAAATCCTTTAAAACTCAATTCATTTTTTGCTTCTGGCTCTTAATGATTTCTTTATTGCTTAGACATGATAAAGCAGCAGGGTCAATCATTCTTCCACATTTTCATACCTTCAAGAACCTAACATTTATTTCCATACAAAATCATTTAAAAGTATTCAGTCATCTTGCCAAAAAAAAAAAATTTTTTTTTGATTTGACTGATCCTTTTAGTCAACAAGAGAGCTAGGATTCCACTTCAGCTGTATAGGCTGGCCTACATACAGGGGCAGGAGTTCAGAAATAACAAATGTATTGAAAAGGAGGCAGCATAATCAAATATGTGAGACTTGATCAATTCCCTTCTCAACAGACAACAGCATTCAGGATTACACAGCTTGGTTCACAGCTATCCAACACTCGAACACACCCATACATACACATGCACACACACACACACACACACACACACACTCTGCATAGGACCATATTTCACTAATAAAGGCATTGTTTCAAGCCCCCCTAACCTCAGCCTGCTTTCTCTTGTGCTCCCACCCAAAAGTGAGTAAGGAAACTTTGACTGTGTTAGTCTAGAAAGAATCACAGAGGCAATAAGCAAGACCTGCTGGCAGGACCCATTTCCCTCTTGTTCTGTAAAGCTCACATCAACTCAGCTTTTTTTGGAACCATATGTTTTAGGGAAAGCCTCTCAAAAACAACCCTTAGAGAGTTTATTTTGTTCTGTTATATCTAAGTGAAGACCTGTTCTCCATTTAGTTTTCAGGGAAAGCGTTTATCCTCGGCCCTTGGGATCTGGTAGGTGGCAGCGCCTGTCCCGTAGTTTGATCTCAGGGATGCTGTGTGATCCAGTGCCCCTCAGATTAATTTAGCCATTGCTACATCTACAAACTGCTTACAGATTGCCTGCTGCTTCACAATGCACTTTTTTAGTTCACATGGTGGAGAACAAGCCGAGAGCATGAACTGAAGCTTTGCTCTCCTTCAGTTTATACAGATCAGTGCTTCCTGGTGGCTGCAGTTCTGCAGATCCTTAGCATACATACATAGCCCAGCACTGTCCTGCATGTTTGCAAGATGCTGTTAAATAATTTCTCTCCTTCATGAGCCAAAAAATCATATCATATCAAGTGACTCCATGAGAAGACTGAGAAGGTTAAGGCAGTGAGGTGGGCATGCTGGTGTAAGAGTTTTACACCAGCATGGAAACCAGAGCCCAAGTTCCAGTTTACCTAGGCAAGGATCTAAACAATAGGCTGAACTGGGGAGCACATCAATTTCTCACTGCTTTCTGACTCCCTTTGTACTGCCTACTGATCATCTTAGTCTCCCTGCTTCCTCTCTGTTCTGTAATGGGCTTGGTGGACTCTTGGTTCCCATTTCAGTGCGCAGGGGATGTCAGTACCTTGTGGTAGATCCCTCTCATGGCAAGGCATCTAAGAGGCAGAGACTCAAATACTTAGCCAGACAGTGTTCTGGCTATTTTGTGACCCAGTGTCTTCAGACAGCCTTGTACCAAGCAATTCTGTTACTCATACACTGCCCTCTGGGTCAGCAGAACTGTACCAAAAACCCTATCCACCCATCTTCCCAAACTGGGCTGAGCAAACTGTTAATTAGGATAGCAGCATTATGGGTCTGAAGTCCAAATTCAGATCTAAGTCACTTCAAATTTGTTTACAGCCTAAATATTTACTCAGAATTAATTTTCTGCATTCAGATTTAGAAAGCAAAGAAGGAAGAAAATATTAAACCCACCTACTACTGCTTCCAGGTTTCCACAGCTGCTACAACCTGCACCCCAGAGAGGAGCGAGCAAAATGCAGCAACTGACCTGTGCTCACTGAATTTAAAGGCCAAAGACTGATTACTGAAAATTACCTCCACATTTCCAGACTAAAATTCCATTCCTGTAATTTCTGGAGGTATGAATAAAGGAGTAAATGGGGAGTGAATAAAGATATGTGCTGGCTGATATGATCTCCCTCCTGGTTAGGCTTATTAGTTTGACTAAATGCTATGTTGAGCCACTACACTAATTCTAGCTTCAAAACAAATTAGAATCTGCCTGCCACATGATCTCCATGGCCACTGTGGCTAGTGGGCTTTGTTCCCAGCAGAAGTGAAAGTCTCATTAATGCATCAGGTGTGGCCACCATTTAAATTAATACCATTAAATACCCTATGAATGTCTTGTCTATGTTCTAGGCCATTGCTGGGAAGTGTTAAGCAGCCTACACATACCTGTTTTCTGGACTGCCTTTTTTTTTTAGTAGAGTCTGTGCCACAAGGATGCTCCTGGTCCTGCTGAAAGTGATTTTTTTTAACCCAAGCAAAGCAACTATATAAATATGCTCTGACCTTCTGTCACACTTTTCAAAGACAAAAAGAAGTCTTCCATTAGCCAGCACACAAGAAAAAGGGAGTATAGCTCAGAGTACTCTCTGGTACCCCAAATCTGCTGGCCTTTCATTGATGGGTCAACTTCAAGCAAGGAAAGTCTCTTTGCTTCAAGACCCGGTTGAAGCAAAATAGTACCCATCATATTTGGTAGCCTGCTCACAGAAGACCGTAACCAAATATTTAACATTTTTCTTCACTTTCTCTACAAAAATCAGCTTACAGCTCAGTTAAGGAGACTGACCTGCATGGCCCATCCTCCCAAAAAGGCCAGATTAGGACAGCTGATCCCCTTCCAGCTCTGAAGCCAGCCAACAGGAGCTTCTCTTCCTTTAATAGGAAGAGCACATACTTATAATCAAGCATCAAGACTATGGATATTAGCTGGATTAAATAGTTTAGTGGGCTAAAACAGAAGGTCCTATCAAATTAGAACATCCCTACTTCATAGAATTTAATATATTAACATCCTTCTGGGCACAGTATTGGGAGGCTTGGCACAAATATTTCCTTTCTCTGATATTAGATGCAAGCCTGCACAATTCTACCGGTGATAGATCAAGTGATTAAGTTTTTAAGAAAAGGAACTAGGCACTTATTATTCGGGAGTTTTAGCACCAGGCTCACACCTCTGTCCTTCTCCCTACTCAGCTAAGGGATTTTTCTCATTCCTCACTAATGTTAACAACAGGTACTTAGAGCAATTAGACATTATCTCCTCTCTGGTCTTTATTACTTCCTAGCTTAGCATCAGCTACTTAGTATGCAATAAAAAAAAGCTGAATTAATAGGATGGCTGCTGCTTCCCTCCTTTATTCTGTATGAAAACACTGGGTCATGGAGCCACATGGGCAGGCTGTGATCATGGGCAATGCTTTAGACCATTATTGCCATTTGCCACAGTATTTTATAAGGGGAAAAACCACAGGTAGCAAATGAACAGATGTACAGGGATCATAGAGAAGGTGATGTAGGGAATATGGGTAGACCATAGAGCCATGAAGGCTGCACGGTTTTCAGGTCCAGCAGAATAGCTTTGCAGCTGTGCCTGTGCTGTGAATTAGCTGTCACACAGACCTGCCAGTTGCACAGGCAAGCCTAGGGACACAGGTATGAAATATTGCTCCTGTGAAAATAAAACCCCAGGACTACTGAGCAGCTCTTGCATGCCTGGGAATAATTGTTATGAACCTTTAATCTAGGGATCGCAACAAAGCCTTGTGTTCCCTATGTTTGGTGTTCAAAAAGAGGCTTTCCCATGTTTGCCCAGCCAAGTAAAACCTCATCTTTTTTCTTCTCTCTCTACCTTAACTCTCCATTAACCCTCAGCTTTAGTACAGGACCTCAGAGAATGATGTATTTTCTTCCTATCCCCTGGTCCCCAGTATTTCTAAGCCTCAATTTGTCATTCCCAAGAGGGAAGGGACAAGAGCTTTGAGCTCTTAAATCCTGCTGTCAGCTCTTGCCTGAAAGAGGTAAGTAGGGAAACTGATGGAAAGCTGAAGAAAGGAGCCTGTCCCTTGTCAGCATTCACCTGTAATGGACTCAAAATGTGGGGTTAAATACCATAACTAGACCCGAGAACAAAAATGAATGGGTTACTTACACAGTTTCATCATTCTTGAACTCCAGCTCCCCGTAAGTGTCTTCAAAGTCTTCTCCACCTCCTTTCGCTGTCCCTTCTACTGTCCTAAATGGCACTATGACTGTACCCCGCGCACCTGATGTCCTTAGGACTTTGACTTCCATCACACCAATGCTCTCACTGACATGTATAATGTCACACTCAAATGTGAAGATGCCAGCATGATCATCATCCAGGATAGTCACTGTGGCCACACAAGGAGAAGCCAATATGGCCTTTGGGTATGGGGAGTTACTGAGCTCTGGAGGTTCCTCACTCTCCACCACACGGAGGTTACTGAGCCGCACAAAGAAATGCTCATCTTCCTCAAATATGTCATCATCAATAATTCCCACCGAGAACTCCTTCTGGGTCTCCCCAGATTTCAAGACAACAGTCCCCTCTGTGAACTCATAGTCAGCACCAGCATTGGCAGAGCCATCCTCTGTTTTATAGTCCACATAGATGGTCTTGGACATGTCCCCTCCTTTCCGCACCACTGTCAGGAGAACGGCACCACAGTTCTCAAGACACTGGTAGGAGCACGGGTCAAAATAAATTTTAGAGATGAATTCCTCGGGTTCCTCTGGCCGTACCTCATGCAAGCTAGTGGTTCTCTTGGCTTGCTCAGCTGCATGCTTCTTCAGAATATTGCCAGCTCCCGTCATCATTCTGGTTGCTTGAATGCGATAAAAGGCTCTGCTCTTCTGCTGATGAGACAAGGCGTAGTAGTTGGCCATCTCTACCAGCTGGTCCAAGTCCTTTTCTGGGTGCTTTTGCTTCAGGTCCTTTAGGATCCGGATCATCTCTTTGCGAGATTCATCTACCTCCTTCCCCTCCACAGTCACTAAGTTCCCATCTAGAAAGTGAGAGTTCATCATCTTGCCGTCCATCTCAATTCCCTTCGGGTGATCGCCTTCTGATTCTATGATAATGCCCCTGTGCTTATCAGTACGGTACTTTTTGTGCATGTACTTATAGAAAAGCAGGCGTCTATCTGCTATCCAAGCCAGGACGACACAAAGTGGAAAGAAGAAAAGCGTGAGCAGGCCTTCCCAAACCTGAACCACACCTGGAGAGAAGACAGCAAGGATCATGTACAACCAGATGTAAGCAAAGATGCTCCATGCAGCTGTGACAAAGAAAACCCTCAGGTGTTTTATCTTCCTGGTTTCCCCATCAGGGATCACATAGACACAGATGGCAATGATGATAAACATATTGAACGCAGCGCTGCCAACAATTGTGGATGGCCCCAGGTCTCCAGCTATGAATCCATGCCCACACACTTCTATCAGAGACAAGAGGATCTCAGGAGCAGAGGAGCCCAGAGCCATGAGGGTCAAGTTGGAAACAGTTTCATTCCAAATCCGAATGGTGGTCGTTGTGGTCTCTCCATTTGGTTTCTTAATTGTTATTTCTTTCTCCTGTGATGTAATGACCTCTATAGATGCCATGAAACGATCTGCAATGATGGAGACTCCAAGGAACATGTAGATCAGCGCTACAAAGTATACAATAACACGGGCAATTTTGTCCCCAAGGGATGGGTTTTCTGGGTACCATATTGGCAGGATAACACCCTCCTTGCAGTCAAAAGATCCTGAGCACGAGCTGTTTTGTACTGTACTGGTTGAGTCTCCCGTCAGGCCAGCATCCACCTGCAAACCATGCAAAAACAGCACAAAAGTAACCAGCCCAAAATGGAGGAAGGCCGAGGTGACAGGCTGCAAGCTTAACCACGCCATACACAAGATGCAACTTCCACTGTGTAGATCCAAATAGGCCGAGAACCTGAAACAAACAAAACAGAGAGGGGGGAGGGAAGCATGAGAGAGAAGGAAGATGCAACATTTACCCAAACGCACTTCAGTATCTCAGCACTGAAGAGTACTGGTACAGATGTATGGGCTGTCTCTCTGCCACTTTGAAGAAGGTATTTAGCAGGGACTATAACAAACTGCAGCATTTACATGCCCTGCAGATGAAGTTCAATTGCTAGAAAAGTAATTCAGAGGAAAGGGGTGTGTGTGTGTGTGTGTGTGTGTGTAATAGCTCATTTCTGATATACAGCATGTGCAACAGAAGAACTGAGTGCTCAGCTGTCACTCACCTAGTGATGCCATGGTGAACTCCCAGCACACTGTACTTCAACTCAGCACAAGCTGTCAAACCTAAGGACCCCCCTGCCTCAGAAGCCAGGAAATAAAACAAGTCAAGCAGTCTCTAGCAACACAAAAAGTACCATTTAAGGCCAGCGAGCAATCTCCAAATGACATCCATTTGTAGGACTTAATTCAGTTATAAATCATGGAGTACCTCAGTGGCCAAATCATCCCCACAAAGAGCCTCTGCTAACAGGCTGCAGAGTCTGCAGAAGGGTCCTAGGGCTCCTCCAACCTTCTGATGCACTGGCCAACCATGTTAGAAGTTACAGATATCAGAATCAGAATCAGATATCAGATATCAGAAATAGGGCAGAAGACTCCTGCTCAGCAAAGCGCCAAAGGCCATATATCACTGGCCTCTCCTTTGCCATCTGGACAGTCCCATTTTACATCAATAATTGTGCTTTTAAATGGTCACAGAAACGTACAAAAATGCCACATTTAGGAAAAGTTGTGCTCATAAAACTCAGAAGACAGAGCAAAATGCATGTATCCACTAACATTCCCTTTGCATCCCTAAGAAATTGATGTATTTTCAAATATCTTCTAAAATGAAAGTAATTTCTAACCTAAAATACCATATAAAAACAATGGAGCTGATTGATGCAGCACATAGATTTGGCATATCACTGCCCAATAATACCTCCTATTACTTACAGACTAAATTGCCGTAGGGCTTGCACCACTTAAAATTGGATTCTGAACCCTTCACATTATCATGGATCACACAATTCTCCTTCCTTCCTAACAGGCCTCTGGAAGAATTTGATCTCAGGCTTAACTGACAAATCACATTTGTGAGTCTAGACACAGGCAAGTATCTCACAGGAAACATCAAACTTAATAGTGGCATTATCTACAGCACTTGGAAGGTTCAAAAGCCTTAACTCCCACTAACTTTCATTGAGGTTTGTACTGCCAAATGAGCAGGCCTGGGATTCATTTCCCCTACTGTAACTACCCAAATCTTGGGCAGAAAGTCAAACCAAGCCTCTCAGGCTCCCTTTGTAGTCAGAGGAAAGAGACAGTCATTGCCATGGAATGATCCTTCCTGTCCCACCCTGTGCTGACACTAAAGATGTATTTAAGACCTACATCTCCAGAAGGGATTAGGTCCCCTTACACCTCTCTCTGCTGTCTCAAGAGGATGCCCAGTCAGGCAGATTACTGCAAGATGCCTGAACTTCAGATGACAGCAGTTCAAAGAGATGAACTTCCTCCAGAACATTGAGGAGATCCACCCCCCTCTCTGAACTGTAAATATTCCAGACAACATTATTGTGTTATCAGCAGTAATAAATGCATCTCAAATGGCTATTTTATCATCATGTTGTGTCGCTCGCCTATTTCCAAAAGCGGATGCAATCTTCCCAATATCAACAAAAAACATTTTCAACTTTCAGATAAAAATCTATAAAGACAGCAAAACAGGAAGGAAAGCGTGAACACGGACTGCAAATGAACAAAACTGTTCCTGACAAAGCACAGCAGAGGGGAGAGAATTGATTATGCAGTATCAGGATCACAAATCCATATCTGACACCCTTGATATTAAAAAACAATACAGTTCTTCATGCTGTGTGGACTAATTCAGAAGAGTGAGATTCTCCCATGTTTGCCTACATAGCTTCCCACTCCAATGCCTTCTTATCTACCCTCCTGCCTCCCCCCAGCCCTGATCGAGCTCCCAGGGATGAGAGAGACCTCAGCCCCAGTGAGGACTGTTAGACAGCCCCAGCCCCAGCCTTGAAATCTCACTAGAACACCCCTCTGCTTGCACAGCTCAGGGCCACAGGGAGGACTGAACTGCCCAGAAAATATGACTCAGATTCAGTTTGATGCTTCCATTTTGTCCTCCTTCCCTCTCTGCACAGTATTTACCTAGATTTCTGGCTGCAGGGTGTTGGGAAACCCCTGGGAAAGGGCCAGTGAACATGTGCAGGGTGACTATGAGCCACAAGCCCAAGATCTCTGGGCTGCAAGGTAGATGTGTGCACACAACAGCAAAGATGACACGTTCCAGGTGCCTGTGACGCGAGGTGCACTCAGAGGCCAGCTGCATGAGCACAGCAGCTCCAAAAACACCCCAGGCACATCAGATCATCCTTTTCCATACTGCAGCTTCTGGCAGGTATCCACCAACCTCTTGACACTTTCAGCTCCCAGCACCTACTTAACTGTACCACGTCCAGTAGGTGCTGTGCCTTCCAAGATCAGCCATGTAGAAATGGCTGACAGAAAGACAGGAGTAATTTCAAAAACATATACGTGACTCAAGCACCTAAATTTGCTTTCAAAAATTATTTAGGAGTCTAAGTACCACTTCAATTCAGAGCCTTGCCTAGGAATAGTGCAATGACTAAATGCCCTCTGAAATAAATCACTGCTACCACCAACCTCCTTCTCTGTGGGACAAACAAGTTCTGTAATTAACACTGTCTACTTTCTGTAATGCCATGATGGTTTCTATTGCTAGGCATTCCTTGACACGCTCCAGGACCTTGCCAGTTCTGCTTAAATTTTTAATTTGATTTTAAGCAGAGGGTAATTTTACTATTATTTATCAAACTAATAGTATGTTATCTCAAAGACAATCTCTGCTAGGGTAGCTTCTGTTTATGTGTTAGGATCTCCAAACTCAGGCTATGTGCTGCAGACTAAAATCCCAGAATTTGGGAACATTTTTCTTCACTGATTTTCATTTGCTTTGACACCAAGTGGAGGTCACAATCATTTTTCTAAAATGAAATGATAATGACTCGATCCCACAATTCTTTGTCAGATAAAACTTCCCAGTGGGATCAACAGGAACTTTGCTCACAGCCATGCTGTCTAATAAGATCTTAATATATGTTCATTAACATGAAAAACAGTAACCTAACCAATCTGAAACAGGTCAACAAGGTTGGTTACACAAGGTGCAAGTTCTCCCTCAGATACAGCTACTAAATGCAGCCCAAAAGCCAGCAGAGGGGAACTCCTGGCCTGCCCAGAGTGCAGCAGACACATCCCCACTCCTCCTCTGTGCAGCGGCATTGATCTCAGCAGGGCTGACTGTGGCAGGAGCCAGCCTTCAGCGTGAGAGCCGCTCTGAACACCAGACATCCAGGTGGGCTTGCAGCCTGGAGTCACTTCTAGGCACTCAGGAGGCGATGTGGAGTCACCCCTCTGACAGCAGTGCGACAAAACACATCCACATTGGGCACAGAGAGGTGTCATTCCGTGTCACTGCCCTGGCCCTACGCGACGCGAACAGCAGGAGGCTGCAGCAACAGCAGAAAGTTAGTTGGTACTGGGTGATCGGGAGGATCATAATTTCTACCACCTCTTTGCTATCAGATATGATTTTCTCCCACAGGTCTCTGCCCTGCTACTGCTTCCAAACTGAATGCACACAAATAAAGGCATTGGCAGTGAGGGGACCAGAAAGTGTCCCCTGTCCGCAGGGTAAGCTCAAAGCAATCCATGCGAAAGAGAGACAAAGTCCTGAGAGCATCACTGCACCAGGATGAGCAAGCATTCAACAGCAAGGCTCTGGGAAAACACATAATAGTTATTTTAGTGGAAGGAACTCCTTCTACAGGAGTTGACAATCATCTATAAATGGACAAATAGAACCCATAAATAAAAAGATGACTCTTGAAATACTTCTGAAGGCAGTCCAGAGGGTAGTATTGGACCATGCTTGTCACAATTAAGGTCCCTTCCAACCCAAACCACTTTATGGTTTTAAGAGACAATTCTAGTATATTTTAAAATAGCTGAGTTTCAGAAGACTGATGGTTTGTCTGCTGTGAATTTGTATTTGGCATAAAGCTGGCAAGGCTTAAATCCCTTTTAATTTAGCTTTTTGCATACAACTTCTCGCACGATTCTAGACGTAAGGATATTTTCAAAAGGAAGCATTTACAAGAAATTGAAACAAGAGGCATCATAACACAGTGATGGCTGATAATATGTAACCTCTACATGCCAAATTCCTAACATCACTGCTCATTAAATACAAAACCAAAGGCAGCTCCCTAAGTCTCTGTTAATTTCATATTTAGGCAAAATGCCCCTTATGCCATCACAAAAGCTGGATTTGGATTTGACCCGCAAATAAGATCAGGTTTTCTGGCACCTCCCTCTCCTTCTCCTCTTTCTCCCACTCCCCAAATAAATGAGACATGGGAGTACATCTGTGGCCATACATCCTCTCTCCCCGGCTCGAGACCAGCCAGGAAAGGCAGCTGATTAGATCTCATTGCGGGGTGAGCCCCACTCAGGCGTGGGTGCTGCACTGGGGCCAGGCAGAGACAGCTCAAGATGCACTTGGCAAGCATCTGTCCCAGCACACAGCAGATACAGCACTGCTATCAGCATCATCTCACAGCCCTGCTCCAAAGCTGGGGGAGACAGAAGTAAGGCTCAGCTTAATAACATGACTTCACATTCCTCAGTTCCAAAGCACATAAAAGCTTTTTGATTGAACACAGGGTTTTTTATAACCACGAGCAAAAATTGAAATTATAGCCTTTCTGCCAAAGAACACAAATAACTGAGTTTTTGCAGAGGAGGTATTACTAAGGCACGGTCCTCCCTCCCCCAAAATAAAAGCAGAGCAAAATATTTAATACAAAACAAAGCCTATTTTTCAATTGT